TATCTTTGACTTAGAATTTATTTAAAAGACATTGTATGATATCTTCTCCTAGTATTAGAAACTTTAAAAAGTATATTTCCATTTTCTGTTGACTTTAAAGAAAAAAGGAGGTTTGTACTTATGTTGTTTATTTATTATTTCTTGCCTATATCTTGTAATATGAAAAACTACTTTGGCAGTAACAATACACAATGTACTAACCACTAAAAAAAAAAGAAAAAGAAAAAGAAAATGCTGAAAACTAAAACTAGACCCAGGTCTATTTCCATGCACTAAACTAAAGTCAAAATTAACTAAAGATCTAAACATTAAAACAAAAACACTCAGTTTCCTGGAAGAGAAAGTAGGTGGAAGTCTTGACGACATAGAAGTGGACAGACAGTTCACACACACACACAAAAAAAAAAAAACCAAACTGCACGGGCAAGACTCCAAACAACCAACAACTGGGATCTCATCTTATTGAGAACTTTCTGCTTACAAAAAGACATCACCAACAGACTGAAAAGACAACCCATAAATTGGGGGAAAAAATCATAACCAACAATCAGTCAGACAAAAGATAAATTATATAACAAACTAAAAAAAAATTGAAAGGGGCCGGGGAGATGGCTTAGTGGAATAAGAGCTTCCCTGGCAAGTTCAAGGGCCTTAGTTCAATCCCCAGTTCTGCAAAAAAAAAAAAAAAATTGACCCCCAAAATTTTAAGACGCAATGAAAAAATGGGCATCTGAGATGAACACACTTTTCAGAGGAAAAAATATAAGTGACAAATAAATACATGAAAAAATGTTCCACACCACTGGACATTCAAGAAATGCAAATTAAAACAACATTGAGATACATTCTCACCCCAGAAATAATGACTGTCACAAAGAAATCAACTAATAACATATGCTGGAGTGGCTGTGGGGAAAAATGAACCCTTCTCCACTGCTGGTGGGAATGTAGACTGGCACAGCCACTGTGGAAATCTGTGTGGAGACTCCTCAAAAACAATGACTGGAAATACCATTCAATCCAGCTATTCCCCTTCTGGGTATTTTCCCAAAAGAACTGAAAATATACCAATGTGATATATGTGCACTTATGTTTATAGCAGCACAATTTGTCATAGCTACATCCTGGAAACAGCACAGATGCCCATCATCTGAGGAATGGATAAAAAGGTTGTGGTTTTTTTTATATAATGGAGTACTATGCTGCCATAAAGAAGATTTTTACTGGTAAATGGATGCAAATCAAGACCATACTCCTAAGTGAAATAAATCAGACCCATATAAGATCCAAAATGTACAATTGATATTGTGAACTGGTAAGAAACTGTTCAAAATGAAAGAGAAACTGATGAGGGAAAGGGAAAAGGAAGGGAGAAAAAAGGAAAAAATATATATATATAATATATATATATATATATGCAATATATATTTATATATATACACACACATACAAGATAGTTATGCAGCTTGTTTCTCTCAGTTCATTGTGAAGAAAGGTTTGTAGACTAGATGTGATGGTGTGCACCTGTAACCCCAGCGCTTGGGTGGCTAAAAACAGGAGGATCACTATGAGTTCGATCTATGTAGTGAGACCCTGTAGACCCTGTACTAAATACAAAAATGAAAGGTTTGTGCAAATACTGTTTAAACAAAATATCATGCTTGTATCTTGTACTCTGAGTAACTACTATGAAAACAATGTGCAATGTACTCATTATTGTAACTCCTACTATCTCATTTTGAAACCTTGTTTTACTATTTTAATTTTTCTCTGTAAAATTATAAAGAGAGGAGCCAGGAAGATAGCTCAGTAGAATAAGAACTTGTCTGGAAAGTGCAAGGGCCTGAGTTCAATCCCAGGTTCCACAACAAAAATAAATAAAATTTTAAAAAGAAATAAAAGCTAAAGGGATTGTGGAAAATGGACTAAGTAATGAAAATATAGGAATGTAATAGACGAGTTTTACAGCTTACTACATGTTAATAATTCAAAAATACATAAACACCACAATCTGTATAGTACTTTTGCCTTGAAAAGACTTAGTTTCCTTGTTGCAGTGTGTACCTTTGTTTCCACCAGCTCTTTTGCCCGGCACCCATTTCTGCCAGCCTATGTGCAAGAGAAAGACAAGGAAGGAGAGACAAAAATGAATGAGAGAAATTACAGGGGGAAACACACAAAGATTTAAAGCAGACTGAGAGAGAGTAAAGAGGGGGCAATTAAAAGGAAAAGCACATCGCTGCATTGTCAGGGTGGTTATCAAAGGGCTACAGTTTGTGAGTTATCAAGTGATGAAAGCGTTGTCTGAAGGAGGCTGATCTGAAACCAATGGAAAGTTACAGCAACAGCTGTGGACACACGTGGTTCATTGTGCTCCTGAGGTGTGTGCATGTATATGTTTTGTTTATTCTCATACAACTTCATTCAGCTGAGAATGTTCCCAGAATAAAATGCATAAGCAAACGTAAAATTCATGAAACATGGAATTTGTAAAAAGTGTTCTGTTCAAATTGTTCTTTAATCTATCATATTCACTGGAGAAAAGTTGTTTTAAAGAAAAAGACCAGGGAGATAGCTCAGTGGCATAAGCACCTGCCTCACAAGTGCAAGGTCCCAAGTTCGATCCCCAATACCACAAAAAAAATGGTATAGCATCTCTTTTCCACAATAACTAACAGGTTTGTTGTTTTGTTTGTGGTAGCAGAGATCAAAACCAGGGCTTTGTGCATGTAAGATAAGCTCTCTACTACTAATCCTACATCCCCAACCCTTGTTTTGTTTTACATTTTACATATTCCTAAGTTTTAGAAAGTTATTAAGCAAAAGATAAATCTGACTATTCTAGAAACTAAATATGGAAGATCAAATACAATTTTAAAAATGAATACACTCTATAGCAATATATGTGCACATATGTTTATAGAAGCATAATTTGTCATAGCTACATCTTTGAAAAAACTCAAATGCCCATCAACTAAGGAATGGATAAAAAGGATGTGTTTTTATATAATCAAGTACTACTCAGCCATAAAGAAGGATAAACTTGAGACTTTTGTGGGTAAATGGATGCAAATTGAGACCATACTCATAAGTGAAATAAATCAGACCTGCATGTGTAAGCATTGTACTGTCTCGCTAGTGTAAGAACCTGAAAGAGTAAATAAAATCCAAAAGGTACAATAGATACTGCGAAAGGGAAAGAAACTGCTCAAAGGGAAGGAACAACTGGAATAAGGGAAAGGAGAAAAGAAAGAAGAAACGGGGAAGAAATATGTATGTATGTACACAAGATAACTTGAGTAATTATACTGCTGATTTCTGTTGGTCTACAGAGGGGAGTAGTTGGTGCTTAAACTTTTTTCTCACTCTTTTTTAACTTTTCATAACTTTTTGGATGAATGTTGCATGCCTATATCTGGTCATCTGAACCACCAATTTGAAGACAACAATATGAAATATAACAACCATTGTTGAATTCCTATCATTTTGTTTAGTGAAATTCTGTATCGTTTCTAATGTTTGCATTTACTCTTCTTATTCTTTTTAAAAACTTAAAACAAATTTCTTTTCACTTCTTTGCAGGTTCAAGAGTATAGAGAGGCTCTTGAAGGAGTCCTCATTAAGGGCAAGAACGGAGTCCTACTTCTGCCAGAGTTGTACAGTGTGCCCCCTGACAGGGTGAGTTGACTGTGCTATAGAGTGACTAGGAAAGGAGACGTGTCTCACTAGCACCTCCTCATTTACGTTAAATAATTTTTAAGCTTCTAATGATAATGTTCTCAAAGCTTGTCTTTAGGTATAGAACAATAGAAACATGATTTTATTCCTTTAAAAATAAATCATTAAAGCATTCGTAATTACAAATACAGCTACAATGACATTCTGTGTGAGCTCTTGGGATTTTGTTTGTACATTTGTTTGTTTGTTTTGTTTTGTTTTGCAGAACTGGGGATTAAACTCAGGTCCTTGCGCTTGCCAGGCAAGAACTTATTCTACTGAGCCATCTCCCTGGCCCCAAAGATTTTGAATTCTCACTTTAATCACAGATTGTTTGAGTAAATCAGGCTTGGAAAATGGTATCTCTTCATTTTCCCAAAATGCCAGTTGATTATATCATTGTTTATCTTTTCTCTTGCAAAAGAGAACTAAACATGGAAGATGTACAATTTTTCGTTCTTGTGGGGCTAGGGAGAATAAGCTCCTAGGAACATCAGCGCATTACCTGAGAGTTGTCAAAAACAGAAATCTGGCCCTTCCACATACCTACTGAATCAGAAGTTGCATTTATGTAAGATCGTCAAGTGATTTGTATACATGTTACAGTTCAGGGATCTGAGGAGTGCTGCCCTAGACCGTGGAGTTTTTGTTTCATTGTGTTTTGTTATGCAGTCTGGGGATGGAACTCTGGGCCTGGAGTACATGAAACAAATGCTCTACCATTCAGATACGTGCCCAACCCTAAACTGTTATGACAGTGCTTAACTTCTAAGTGAACTGTCTATGTAACTGTACAGAGTAGGAATCAATATCTAGATTCAGCCTTTAATTATCTAGTATCTTTTTTTTTT